ATATATATATATATAGCAGTTTTTAAAAAATAATTAATTGACTACGAGGCCACAAAAATTTATAATTAATTTAAAAAAATGAATAAAAATATATTAAATTATATTTAAATAATATTTTAACATAACCAATAAATTTAAATCTTGCCTCAAACCTTAATATCCATCTATTGCATGATTAAGGTTATCAAACGACTCTTTGTTCGCAAACAACTCGTGTTCGACTCGCTAAGCAAACCAGCCGAACACACACTTCTTGTGTTCGAAATAAAAACGACCCGAATACGAACATTGACATTTTTTAACAAACCAAGCACGAGCTGAGCTTGGGTTTGCTCGCGTTCGGCTCGTTTACACCCCTTTGTGTGTGGTGGTAGACATATATGAGTAGGTGGTTAATAAACTTGTTTGTTGGAGTAATACATGAATGATGGTCATATACTACATTTGCTCCCACTTGGATGACCGATTGGACAACTGTGGGTATATTTTTTTACTTTTTTTCACTGTTATGAACATGTTGATTTTTGCTCCCACTTAGGTGGGTTTATTTTTTTTTTAAAAGGTCAACGATGGTCATATCAACCAAGGGATTCTTTTGAATGACTATATTACAATTGTTTTGCTCCAACTTGGAGTCTAGCCCTTCTCAGCCGCATGCTAGCAACCCTACAACAGCTACCTTGTTGTTCAAGTCTATCCCATGTTGTCAATGCTTCCCTGCTCACTGTCCACCCTCCAAAAGTGTTGGAGAACCTTCCCAGCTGATATCCTATTTCTTCCACAGCAAGCCCAACCTCTCTAGCCTTCACCGCAATCGCAAGTCTAGCCTCCCCCAGCCAGACTCCCTCTTCAACAAGTGTGTTTTCTTCTTTGTCAAGTCATTAGTTATAAACCATTGTTTTGTGTTTTGCCTTTCGTTATTTCGAATCTTCACTGTAACCTTATTTTAAGTCAGTAATAAAATTGTGTCGTGCGTGACTTGTGTTACTCTAATATCGTCCGTTATTGAAGAAAATAGTCCCGAAAACAAAACATTTGAAGATTGTGACTTTTTATGATGAGCTCAAGACAGTAAAGAACACTTCAAATAACAACAATGTAAAGAGAGCAACTTAGGAAAAAAAATTCTCCAATGTACTTAATTATTTGAATATGAAGACTAATATTACAACAATATTACTTGTTATTTTAATTTTAATTTGTGTTATTTATTCATGTTAAGTGATATATATTTTTCAATGTAATATATTAAACTCGATTTTTTGTAATTTTTTTTTTTAATTTAGTGTGTTATATTTGAATTATTTCCGAACAGTGCCCATACAGCTACAATATGTAAGGGCATTATAATCTTTATTTCAAAAATAACTGCAGCACAATAGTTTCACAGTTGAACCATCCAAAACAGATATATTATTTCTGCTGCAGCTTCTCTTGATATCAGTTTTTTGAGAAGCAACAGTTTCTTTCTTCAAAAAGCTGCTGCTGTCCCAAAAATACCCGAAGATGCATGGCAGCGCTTTTACAAGCTATTGTGCCAACAAACAAATGAACTAAACCTAGAATCCAACTTGAATAAATCCATTCTAAGATGGCTCAACAATCAAAACAAGTTGACCCTGACTTGATCTTAAATTTTAATCTCATAAAAAAATTGTTTATATTTTATCCGAGAGTCTATGCGAATATGCTGTCCCAATCCAAACCCAACCCTTAGAAAACCCTACATTCATGCATTGCTAGTAAAGTTTTGTTAGGCTATTAAAAACACATAAATAAACAAAATTTGAAACTGAAACATTAGAACTTTTGTAAGAGCAAATGAAACTAATAAATTCTCCATTGGCTTGTTAATGCATCCAAGTATCCAATAATCTCCTGTTTAATCCATGGCAATTAAAATTTCATCGCTGCTGGTAATACTAATAGACAAATAGTGAAAAATAAAGGAAACGCCCAGAGTAATAAATCCATAATTTTAAACGAAAAAAAAAAAAAAATCCTCAACAGTGGATACATAAATTTCACCTAATAGCAACTTAAATGTTTTGTGGGCTATTCAGTTAGCAAAAATTATTGAACATTAAGGACAATATCTAACATCATTACATAGTTATAAAAGAGCATGAGCAGATGGGTATAAACCAATCTAACAAGATGGGAATGATAGGGACATTACCAAACCAGTAAAAGGAGAGCTTGGCTGCAATAAAGAGGATTAACTCAGATAAAATATTCAGCTGGCTCTAAAGTATTCATGAAAAGGCTAAAGCGCAGCCTTATTTGGGGTTGAGAAAACACTTTGAAGTTCATTAGTGGGGGTTGGGGAATCATACCTTATGAGGATCAAACCCTCTGCTCCCAATTGAGATTTTTATTATATAGTATTCTATCCTTGACTTCTTCGTCATGCAAATCTTCCTTATTGAACAGAGCCTCATGAGGTGCCACTTCTTTGTCATGCAAATCTTCCTTATTGAACAGAGCCTCATGAGGTGTCACTTCTGCATCAACTTGGAATTTTTTTATATCTGAATTTTCCTCCTTGGTTACCTCAGGCAGAGATAAATCAGGCACAGCTTTGCTCGGCTCTTCCACTTCCAGTTTTTCATGATCGTCCCTTGCAACTAAATTTTCCACTTTTGTTGCCTCTGGCAGACGTAAAGCAGGCAGATCTTTAATGGCATATTCCAATTCGGGCTTTTTCGATTCATTTCTGTCCTTTTCTTCTTGGACTTCAGCTGAATCTTGATCTGCTTTCACTTCCCTTTCTTCTACAGTCTTATCTTCTTCAGTTAGCAAAGTAGAATTATTATCATTGATAGTTCTAGCAGCAGCCTCTACCTTTTCTTCTACTGAATCATCTTCACCATCTTCTATTACGGCGTCTGCTACGCTCTCCACTGCTTGTGTGTCTGTTTTAGGCACCTCATCAACTTGTTCTTCCTCTGTATCTTCGTCATTCCTATTCTGCTTTCCCTTGCTTGAGTTTGATTTTCTCTGTCTTTTCTTTGGTGGATCATCCTCAATAGATTCTGTTGCCTTTACTTTTTCCCTAATTCTGACAGAGCGCCTAAGGGTATCCCCTGTTATACCAATCAAGCAAGAACTAAGATCACATGGAAAATCAAAAATATTAGTCGAGAAATTGAGGGGGGGAACAAGAAGGGGAAAGAGGATACCATATCCCCAATCAAACTCTGAAGGCGAAGGACCTCCAGGATGAGAACGCAGAAACCGGTCCAAATTCTTCCTGTTTCTAATCTCCTCTCCAGTGGGAGAAATAAAAGTTACTCCGTTCCTTTTGGGAGGTCCGTCCTTCGGTATGTACTGAAAATATAAAGGTAATAGAGCATGTAAATAAAAATCACCAATCTTAATGACTAGAGTAACTATACCAATCCAGAAAGATTCATGGACAATGTTTCAGGATAATCCGATTACAAAAACGTATTTAATTTTTTAAAAAAAGGAGAATGTGCGTGTGCAACAAAATGGATGTGTGAAAAGCAATATAGCTATTTAGAATAATGCATATGATCCAAATAAGTAATACAAATTCTCAAATCTATAAAGATACAGTACCTGCTAAGAGGTAACAAGAAACAATTTAACCTAATTTAAAGCATAGTTAACCCAGATCACAAAAGGAAGAACAAATTTATTAACAAAAACAAATATGAGGGTTACAATCAACAAACAACTTGGAAAGGGAAAATAAAAAAACGGACACAAACAAGCACAACTAAAATGTGTCCCAAAGGTGGAGGTGGTAGTCGGTGAGGATTTGCAAGGTGGCATATGAGTGGAAAAGGCGATTGGCAAGCAGAAAACAGCAAGGCGTCTGTTTCCTTGACGCCAGAAAGCAAACAAACAGCAGAGGATGTATGAGGGCTGCACATGGTGAAGGCAGGAAGGATGGAGGGCAGAAATGGAGGCAGCAGCAAAGAAAAGGGACTGGACAGCAGTAAAACAGCTGGAAAGGGCAGTCCTGGGTTGCAGCAGCAAGAGAGGAGGACACAGCAGCGAAAGAAAGGTGTTGCGGCAGTGGTAGCAATCTGGAATGAGCGAAATGGCTGGCCGGGAGGCTGGAAAAGTAGAAAACAGCTGTTTGGGGTGGCGGCAATGAGTGGTAAAGACGGCGGCAGCAGCAGGAAATACATGGAACTACAGGACATCAAAGGGAGGCCTGTCCAGGGATGCGGCGGTAAAGCGGGACAGCGAAGAAGGGTGGCTGGAATGAGTGGTAACAAGGTGGGAGGTGGCTGGAAAGAATGGCAACAGGTGAAGGACGTGGTGTCTAGTGACTAGAGTTGTAGGAAGAGACTTTGGATGTCAGACTTTAGAGGTGAAGCCAAATTTTAAGTTTCTTTCTTCAGTACCCTAACAATATGGCTATTGTATGACTACCCGTTTTAATAGTGCATTACGAGCCATGGGATTAGATTCAAACCAAAGGCAATGATGGATTCACTCCATGGGGCTTTGGTGTAGGTCAATAAATGAAGAAGGGAAGCCAACAAAATTAAGTTGAGGTAAAAAGAAAAGAAAAGGGATTTTTAGGTATGCGTGGTCCTTTCAAGACCCTAGTTGTCTATTTATGTTCAAGATGGATGCAAAATAAGAATAGTTATTTCAAAGCCTTTTGATGAATTCCTAACATACTATTTCTATTTAAAGAAGTCATAATTGAAAATGTAATGTAAGAAAGTACAATACAGAAAATATCAGGTAGCATAGCCACCACTTATGTAATCTCCTTATCTAATGAAATCATTCTAGTATTAATTTCCCGAGGATGCAAGCATGATCTAGGTTGAACCCCAATAAAATCTGTATCCTAGTTCCTTCGTTTCAATTGAATAACAATAGTGTGAGATATTGCTCTACGGGCCTTCCATTGGACACATAAGTTCTCTTATTTGCATATGGTTGGCACAAAATGCAAAACATGTTGCCCAACTCTACTACATGCTTTCACAACAACAGGTAGATCTAAATATTTGGAACGGCATACCAGAGCTAGATTATGCTGAAAATATATAATTCAAACATACTGTTTCGGCACACCACAGCATCACTGGGCAACAGTCAGGTGTCTATGATTGATGGTATCAAGAACGAACAAAATGTAAAAGGAAAATGACAAATGATCTCCCGAAACTCCTCATTAGACAAAGAATTGGGGGACTTAAGGCCAGGGATGTGCGGTTTTCCTCCAATCAACTAGGACGAACCCTCCAACAAAAGTGGAAATTGCATCACCAAATAACCTCTTACTGCTAAAGTTGAAAAAAAAAAATACAGGTAAACACAATTTGATCCCTAAATTCATAATTTAATCTTTGATGCATCGCCAAAAGTTTAAAACAACCTTTGATTAACAAATCAAAAGTTAAGTGTGTTGCTTCCATAGCTTATCAATGAAGCTCTCAAATAGATATCAAGGGTGATACTTGAAAAGAAAAATAATCTAAGCAGTTTGCACATTATACACTGAACACAAAATAGCACCTGATTACCATCAATATGTGTCATGAGACCTCGGGATCATCTGCAAATATTACACAGTTCTGGCATAAGCAAGAGGGTTTTCTCATCAAACACCTCGGAAACAAAGACAAGTTTGCCAGAAACAAATCAATCAATGATAAAGACAGTTATCATGCAAGAGACAACAAATTGAAGGAACAAAACATTTCAAATTACACAAATGTGGTTCTTACAGAACACATCATAATCACACGGGTGGTGGATGCCAGTACTAGAAATGCCATTTTAAGTTTACATTAAGTCACAAATGTACTCCAAGAATAAAGGAAAAGCAAAACGTAATCTAATATATAGGGACAATGAGGAAGAGAGAGTGGGAGTAAGAATTATTTCAGGCAAAACCGTCAATGATCAAGGACAATTATCTCATCTCGTCTTCTTTTATCTTAGAAAAGATTGGTGATTGCCATTCTTTCAAAGGGTATCAATGAACCCTTCCAGCTTGGCCAAAGCCTTGACTCAGTAAGTAGAGGGTTCATCATATCACTCAAACGCAATATCTAAGATTTTGATAAAATGATAAGAGGAATGATGCATCAACGACTCCAATTTAATAAAACAACAGCTTGGACACCACTTGCCACCACTTGTTATCGAAAGATTTGCTAGATTTATGAGTGTGAAACTTTATCAAGCCTGCATCATGATGGTCATTTGCAATCTACCTATCATTTCCCTCGATCTACTATTGCATTTAGCACCATGTTAAAATTAAGAAGGAAGTTTTGGATGCACCTTCTTAATACTCACCCAAGCGAACTAAATGTTCTTGCTCATATTAACGCTCTTGAGGATGCTGGCCTCCTAAAACAAGGAATAGGGAGGCAAATGAGCGATTGCTCAATGTGGTACTCAAACATAAATACGGACTCTCAATCTTCACTAATTTCACATCCTCTTGATTATTAGCTTCCATTTCAAATTGGCTCCTCCAACAAAGCAGGTCTTCAATGTCGATTGAGATGTTATTATGGCACTCACCAGGTGGAGTTAACAAGCTCCTTCAGCTTTTTAGAATTGACATATATCAAAATCACTATGGAGAGCTCAATGCTTGAATTAGCTTGCTTTTGTGGGCCCCAAAATTTCTAGAAACTCTAGATGACGAATTTTTAGATTGGATATTCACATGTCATGTATCTAATCTCCCTAACAAGGCCATCTTCATGAGAACGTAGCCTTTATATCTTGACTATCAAAACCCGTATGCAATAAAATCCTCAGAGAAGTGCTCAAGTGTCACACCCTAACGTTTGCTTAAGAAAAAAATGAATTGATGAACTGATACATCAAAGCCAGTCCATTTTGGAGGTGGTGTCTCTAAAGGTTAGAATTCCTCTTGTTCTTTGGCATTAATGTAGTCTATTGTAAGAAGCTTCCTGATATTTCAGGGGAGACATTCTCCACAGGCTTTCAGATTTAACAATTTTATTATTTGAAGTGGCTCATTTTTTTCATCTTTTTTTTCATCAGTGTTAGGCAACTCAGCTTAGACCAAAACTTGAGCTCAACGATTCATTGTTGAGCTTGACCAATTCTCAGCACTAGAGATTTATCATTAGAACAGAGTCTACAGACAACTAGCACTCACTTCAGAATTAAACATGTACCCAACTAAATCAATAATGAGAGTTACACACATAAAGTAGTTTTTTTTTCCTTTTGTTCATCTTAAAAGGATGATTTTAGAGGAGGAAGTTTCCTCATCATGCCTCCCAAACATGAAGGGCATCAACTGTTGTTAAAACATAAGCAGGCTAATGTCAATCTCGTTATCTCCTCATAAATTAGTTTCCATTTTCAAGCAAGATTGAGAACATATCCATTGAGTTGTCCTAGTGGTAGAAGCAACAAGAAGAGCCTCGAAAGGCCAGCACCATAGTTTGCTGGTTGGGATTATCGCAAAGGACCTCTTGCCAACACTAAGGAAATGAAGTTGTTAAACATGAACAACAATTTGTCGAGTTGAAGATGCAAATCTAAAAATTTAACATAAAATGCAAAATATGTGTAGAAAGACAAATAACTAGAAAATTAAACTCTTAATTTAATTTTTAGTTGTAGAAACAACAGCAAGAGGCTTCAAAGGCTAGCACCTTAGTTTGTTGGTTGGTATTATCACATAGGGCCTCTTGCCAACATTTACGAAAATAGGTTCTTAAACATGAACAACAATTGGTTGAGTCAAAGATGCAAATCTCAAAATTTACCATAAAAATGTAAAATGTGCACAAACACGAACCACTAGAAAATTAAACTCTTAATCTAGATTTTAGTTGTTTGACTTATTTTATTATTTTGAATTTTACTACGAGCTTAAAATTTTAAGGGTCATAATATGCATTCCTAAGACGTTTGTTTATTATGAAAGTTTGCTTTGTCCTAGTTTCCCTGTTTGGATCCTTATCCCATGCAATTTCTTGGAATCTGATTTGGCGACTAGAGGCTCAAATTCTCTATTATTGATATCTATATAAATACTTTTGTGGCTTCTATTTATCAGAGGCCAACTTTTGCTTCTATTCCTTGCAACTTCATTTAGTAAAACTTCTTTTCATGTAAAGTAACATGATTCACTCCATTATTTCTAGCAACATCCCTCTATTTTTATCATTGGGTGTAATTTACTTTTGCTTCTTTACTATGTGTGATTTTTTAACTTCTACATGACAAGTCAACAACTATGTAAATTTTAGTGATTCTCTAGTTGTAATCAGTGGAAAGAGACTTTTTAGGATTTTTTTATAAATAAGAAACTTAACCTTGTTCATAAACTT